GAAGAAGATTTTCTTTTCTATATATTCCTATGTAAAAATTTGATTTCATTGTGGCCCCACCATACCCCCGGGAGTCATGATTTGAAGAAATTTGAATCTACAGTACCTGAGGATGCTTCCACATGAGTTTCTTCTTTCCTGGCCCAATGGTTCTGAAGAAGGAGATTTTAAAAAGATTTTTCCTATATATTCCTATTTAAAACTTTGATCAGCCATTGTGGCCCCATAATTTTTCATTAATTCATAATTATCTCCCCTTGGAAGACGGCTTGGCCCTTCATTTGAACAAACTTGAATTCCCCACACCCAAGGCTGCTTTTTGACAAGTTTGGTTAAAATTGGCCCAGTGATGCTTGAGAAGAAATCGAAAATGTGAAAAGTTTACAGACAGACAGACAGCTAGACGGACGGACAGACGGACTACCGACAAAATGTGATGAGAAAAGCTCACTTGAGCTTTCAGCTCAGGTGAGCTAAAACGGTATTGAACACTGTTTAGTTATAATTTTTTTGTTCAACGTAAACTCGAACAAAAGTTCTCATTCAAGTGTAAAGATCACCCTTTCTGTCATTTGATTTTGTAATGTCTAATGTTCTCCTATATATATCAAGAACTTCTTTGCTTTTCCAAATAGTACCCTTTAAACAATCTTTACCAGACTTAAAATTGAATTCTGAACTATTTCAACAGTCGTCATGCTACCCTTAAAATAAAAAAAAATATTTTACAATCGAAAATTTGGATATATACTCAATTGTATTCACACCACTTAAGATTTTTTCTTACATCTACGAAAGAAGCAATAAGACATGTCATACTCAGAAGTTTACGTATACTATTCACACTCTTACAGTGCAAGTGATAAACAATTATATACAGTACATCTAGTCTTTGATCCGCCAGGTTAATGCTTTCTGAGGGGGGATATGAATGCTTTGATTGTTGACTTTCTGTACTATGGGCGTTATCGACAACCATTGCTATTTCAGATTACATATATTCCTGTCAGCAGAAAATCAACCCGCTGTGATGTATATTTATACTTTACATAACCATGGTGTAATAGCTTATAGATCAAATCCATTGTTTATCTTTTTATCAGAAAACATTGCAGTGTTTATCTCTTGGCTCCAGAAATTTGAAATGAATACCTTTTATCATGACCTTGCTACTGTATCGCTTCATCTGGTTTTATTTCTAATGTTTTTTTTACATCCTACAGTGAGATGTTTTGAGGCATATAATTATGAATTTTTAAATTCAATATTAATCATGGAATCAATTATAAGACTTCGAAACTTCTATTTTTACATTAAATTTCTTGTTTTTTCTTCTTTTTCCTTGTTTTGTGTGTATTTTTATGACAAAAGTTTTAAGTTAAACTGTTTAAAACAACACATGCAGACCGTTATGGCCACCTGAGGAACAAGGGTAAAGATAAACTCTCCTCCTATCATTAGTTTGCTCTTTTGTCTTAAATTTCGAGTTAAACATTGCTATGTAAATGTTTCTTTAACATTTCCACGATCGACATTTAACTTTGTTATATACTAATCACCAGACTGCAATCATTAACTTGGTTGTCTTCTCGACTTAGCACCACTGACTATTATATATATCAACATGTGTACAGGGGTTACTGAGAACCTGTAACCACTGACTAGCAGAAAGGACTAAGTTGACATTAATGGTCTCCACTATACCACCAACAATAACTAGTGGTCTTGGGGTACCTAGTACATGTAGATAGGATTGGATGGACATGGAGGTGACAAGTAAGGACTGAGGAGTGTATAAAGATACTGCTGACACGGAAATAGGTTTGTTGGATCAGAAAAATATTCTCTTGTAACGGAGTAGAAGATAAGGTTGAGTGGAAAAAGAATGTATCCTGTTATCACTGACTAGTTGGTAAGCTTGGGTGGACATACGGGATATACTTTCAATACTGACATGAAGATAGAGTATTATGTGGACATGGGAGTAAATAAAAAAATGAAGACAACGAACAATAATCGATCTCAAAAAGCAAGAATAAACAACAAAGCAAATATACAAGAAGGCACAAAACACGGCCCTAGAAACTCCGGAAGTGAGATCAGACCTGGGGGCCATAAAATTTAGACGAGCTTATTTTTTATCTCAGTCTCACTTCTCCACTATATATTTCTTAAGCAAAAGTGAGACGGAGATCAAAAGTGAGCTCGCCAGGTGCCTGGCGGATTATTTATCCATATTGACCGCTTACAACCGCTGTGTACCCCTCTGTGTTGATTAGGTAGACGTAACTTTACTGGTCAATTCAGTTTTTAAAACAAGTGTCTTACGATTAATATGAGACAGGTCAGCCAAAGAACGACCCTATGACATGCCATATTTGCTAACAAGGCCATTGTATGACCATTAAATGTATGAAATGCTGACTTAAAAGGAGCTTGTTGAAATCCCTCTACCATTAACTTATTAGTATGAAGATGGGATTGGTTGGACATGGGGCATACTTTTCTTTATCCGTTCTATCTTTTCTCCTATTTATTCTCTTTTAAATGACCGGTCAGCAGGGGATGCTCACTCCTCCATGGCACCTGATCTAACCTCTGATGTTTTGGAGGTCCGTGTTTGCTCTGCTCCTGTTTTGTATTGTTTTATGTAATTTTGATCTTGAATACTGTTCGTTATCTCAATATTTTTCACTAAGCCCGTTTTGTTAAATTTACTTTCGTTTTGACTGATTGTTTTTCCTTTCTTGATACTAATAAAAATAAAATGTGAATTATCAATTCGTGTTTTTTTTTTCTTATCAAGTGATTTTACAACTGTGATTCAGTAGCATATTGAATATGTGTATTAAAAACTTGATATGAAAAATGCTTTCAAAACTTTGATGAATTCAAATTTATCGGGTAATAGACTTAACTTGAAATAGTTGTTTTGAAAATTTTAATTGCTACCAAATTTAAACATTGTAAATTCGGATAACCCTCTTTAAGCTTTTTTTAAAAATTTAATCTGCCTGCTGTGTAACGTATATGAGTTTTTTTTTATTTATTACAACCGAGCTGAAAATTCCTTGTTATCATTTATATATCTTAATTACATCTTTGGGCAATATCTGCGTTATTGCAGAGTAATGGATTAAAACTCGTAATAATAAAATGCGAATGCTTAATAGTGTCGATGGTGGAAATCTCTTCAACACACTTCTTAACTATTAACAAATACGAACATGTCTGCCTGTAGCAATTCATACCCCATAGTATTTTACTTTTCTTTTCACGAGTTTTTCTAAATTCAAGAATTATTTGGGATGTTTATTATTTATTAGTTCCTATTTCACAGTTGATTTTTTTTTTTTTGGGGGGGGGGGGGTATTTTTTAACAGATAGTATAATGTATTTTTGGATGTTTCTGAAGTAAAAAAAAATGAAAAAGAAAACCATTTTTACAAAACCAATAAATATTAGAGGAAGCTGAAAAATTATATAAATGTATGCCTATTTTAAAACAACTTTCAAACCTTACATAGATCATTTTAGATACAAAGAAACTAAAAAAACTAGGGAATCAAGTGTACTCAGGCTCTCTTAAATTATGTGATTTATGTTGAATGTTAAAAGAGGAAAGATTGATATATATTTTTGAAAGCATCACAGTGCACGCAAAAAACTAATTTTATAATGATTTACACAGGGTCTGATAAATCAGATTCATATTTGGATATTTTACATGAAAAGGACGTTAATGGTAATCTAACAACCAAACTCTAAAATAAACGTGATGACTTTAGCTTTTCTTTCGTCAACTTTAATTACTTATGCAGCAATACACCTTCATCACCTGCATACCGAGTTTATGTATCCCAGTTGATTCGATACGCATGAGCATATTCTGCGTATGGAAAATGTCTAAAACGAGGTAAATTATTGAGCAAACAAGCATATAGTTTAAAGTCGTCATTTCGTACGTTCTATGGTCGATACAATAACCTTGTCAACAAATACAATTTATCATTAAGTCAGATGCTGACCGACGTATTTCATACTAATTGTTAGTCCATTATTTTTACACTGAATTGACAACGGATTTTCCCGTTATTTCTCGAACATGACAAGGAGCACACGGCGGTTGTGACCGGTCAGCAGGGGATGCTCACTCCTCCATGGCAGCTAATCCCACCTCTGATGAATCGGAGGTCCGTGTTTCCTCTGCTCCCAGTTTGTTTTGTTTTATGGACTTTTGATCTTGAATACTGTTCGTTATCTTCATATGTTTCACCCATTTGTTTTAAAATCAATCCGTATTAATTACATTGCCAGCAGATATTCTTTATGTTTCACTCAAATTTTAAAATCATTTTGAAGTTTTATCAGAAATACTGGATTAAAAAGATGGAAAATACATTCACTTTTATAACAAAGCATGGTGAGCATTCCGTAACTCGAATGCATATTTGTTGGTTAATTAGTAACATGCATGCTTGTAAACTAGATATACATCAACAAAGTCAAAGATCAATATACCAATACCAAAGTGACAAACCTAATTTCAGAACAGATAAGTAAGGTGGTAATGACATAAATACTTCTCATAACAATTGTTTTTTTAACCATTCCTCTCTCAATTATCTTCATTTGGTTACCCCTAAACTTAGAAAAGCTAATGTTCTAGATGATACAGAAGGCATACGTATTTCCTGTCAAATTCTATGGGTGTCTCTATGAATGACAAACTTTCATAGGAAAGCTAAATAACATATGTAAACAAACATGTATTTGTGATAAAAAGGTATTTTGTTAAATCATTTATTAAAATATAACTATATCCCTCTAGAAAATTCATTTTTATTTACTTTTCGGTGATGCAACATGATTTTTATGACTTAGATGAGGAAGTACCAATCATTTGAAATACTAGTAATCATAAAAGCTTTGGGAAAATACACCATATCAAAAGTATTGCATTGAATTAAATAAAAAAAAAGTTAATAATGCTATCTTACCTCCTGGTGACTTCCGGCTTTCAGACGACGTCAACTAGTATTCCTTAAATTGGTTAATGTCGGGAGTCAGAAATATTTCATTATATCGCCACCTCATCTGACGAAGATATAGAATTAAAGGAGGATCTTTAATCCAGACTTATATCATGAGTTTTAATGTTCACTGAGACTCCTCCAGGTTCTTGTTTCTAGAAGGACGTCTGTTCCTCCTGGCAGTCTCGCCAGAAACTCAGAGAACTTCAACGCAACTCTTGGTGTGTTTCTACGTAATAGGAACCACACGATGCCTCGACATCTCAAGATCTTTTCACAGCGTATAGTATGAAATTAAAAGTCTTAAGATTTTTGATGTATGGAGATGATAGCTTGTGAAACAGTAATTATTAGCCTGCTACTTGAAAATGGAGAAGCTCGTGAAGATTTTTTATGCCACTGTGTCAAAATTTTCCTTTATTCGCATGACTAGTTTTTGAGAACTTTATCTTTCGGCTTTTGATTTTGTATTTTTTTTGCACAGTAAGCTTTATTGATGGACCTACTAAATCTTAGCAAAATGCTGATTAATAGTGATAACCGGTATTTATGATATTTTCAAAAGTGATATACTGTAATTTATTACCGGAAAAAAATATTCTTTCGCATTGTAAAACAATATCGAAGTAATATTCTTTCACAACAATTATTAAAAGTGCGGGAAATCTCTTTATATTTTCTTATGTATTGAATTATAAATATTTCTTCTTGCGAATTATGAGGAAGCAAGGACCAAAACTATTAATTTTCTCCAAATCATCGAAATGATACATGTACATGTTAATAGCATTTTCAATTTTGCAATTGTTTAGTTATAATATATTTCTTCCCTAAATGAACGACTTACGAATTTCCTCTCTAGGCTGTTAAAAGAAAGCAATAGAAATACACAAACCTAACTGCATAAGTTTCTTCAAATGGTTATATTGATACATGTACATGTTTATAGAATTATCAATTTTCCTTATTTGTAATAAATAAATATTGTTCAACCATCATGAAACAGCTTAGAACATTACACAGTAGAAAAAACAGCCCTGGGCAAAGAAAAAAGGTTTTATTGTTGAATATGAAATTTCTTTCACTCGCGAGACAAGATTTTTTCATATTTTTATGATTTCTTCGCACTCATATTTTAAATAAAAAGCACTTCCACTTCTGATGTATAGAGCAACAAATTATCTCATATACTAGTATGTCGTTTTTTATATTTCATTGATACATTTTCATGCCTAATCATCTTCGGGGAGATTTGTGGTGTCATGTAGATGTGCAAATCGGAATTTTGATTTTTAGATTTTATTTCATTTCATTTTTAAAAGAAATCTGTTAAAGTGTCAAAAATACCCATTTTACAAATAAACATCTTTGGGGAATGGTTCGTGGTGTCAAAAAAAAAAAAAATGGAGGTCGAAAAAAAAAATTAATGTTGTAATGCATTCCCTTACAATATTTCCTTATTTTTTATCGATTATATACGCTAAATAGCTTTAGTCAAATCATTTTACGAATCGAAAGAAGATTTGGCATGTCTCATATATTGCACATGTTTGCACTAGCTGTGAAGATTTTGAGTTGTAGTCGCTAAACATAATAAAAAATTCCTCTTAAAAAGGTTCTGAGGATCATTTCAGACATTTGTCAGGTCACGTGTCTCCTAAGATCTCGTGATTAATGGAGTGAATAAGTTCTTCGAACAGAATCTTGAACAGTAACATTACCTAGTCACTTCTGGTATTTTGGAGGTCCATATATTTGATAAAATATTTTTTGTTTTCAATATATTTAATTGAATCATATTTAGTCTTTTTAGTCATATTCTTTAAAATAAAAAAAAAATGAAAGCATTCAACAACAAAATTTTAAAAGTCAGACTAATTTGTAGGTTTGAAAATTTTCCTTGAATTTTATACTACTTTAGATGTAAGTACATTACCTCGAGAAATTGAATTTAATTGCACTTACAGATGTTGCTAATTTGTCAAGTGAATCACTGGTATTTTCAATGTGTTGCCTGTTGTCAATCTACTTTGGTCTTCATTTTTTGCTCATCAGCTGGATAGAGGCTACTGGCAAATAACTCATAGCTTAAGGGTTTTTTCCTTTGATCTTCCTTAGAATGACAAAAATCTATGATATTTGTTTATGAAACATTACATACTGTGTCTCATAATGAAAAATTGTAAAGAAAAGGATAGGAATGTATCTTCAGTTTTTTTGTACGTTGCTATCTCTTCATATTTAAATTATCGTTAAATGGCTTCAAAACATCTCAGATAATAAATATATATCCAGGAACGGTTATGATAATTCGACTGACAAGTATGTCATTTTGTTTGTTATTAAAAAAAAACATCTAATTGAACATTTTAAACATTTAATTAACTAAGGAACTTTGAGCAAGTTTGTAAAGGTAAATCAGATAAGTTTTATACACATACTAATTACATAAGAGGAGTATAAATACACTCATTGTGTTATATACAGGTTGCATGCGTTATGTCTTGAGCGGTTGTAATGACATGGTTTTAGACATTGATTTCTTTCGTCTGCAGGCACAGTGTAATTTATCGTCTGGAAGCTTGGGGCTGAGTAATGAACATAAGGAAGAAAACGAACAGTGATCGTTCTCCCAGTCCCAGAAAAAAAAAAACAAAATTACTAACAATTCCAAAATGTGAACAGGCCAGAAAGTATCCGAAAATTCCTGTAATCTTCATGAAATATAATCCAATTCTCACAAGATGTGCTCATAAGAGTTACTGTAATTATCACTTGTTGATGTATCCCAGGTGTTTTGTATGTAAACGGAATATTAATTAGGTATACGGAATTATGGGAATAAGTCAATTGAGTAAAAATGTCCGAACAATTGGTATAAACGTGACAGCTAACATAGAAATCAATAATTAAGTTATAATTGCTGTCAAGGCCATTAACCCCTATAACATCAACTTATCAATCAGTAGCTAAAAAGTGCATCAGAGCTGACACCAGGAGCATTAGAGGAATGAGAACCCCCTGTCCACCGGACAAATCCATATAAATATAAATTAAATATAAAAAAGAACTATTCCATTTTCGTATTATCTCCTTGTCATACATTTTCGGGTCTTCCCTTACAAATGGAAAACAAAAAAAAAAAATCGTATACATGTAGAATGTTATGTATAGAAAGTGACATAACAATTAAACAATAGTATGAAAATTGCCAGTCATTATTCGGTTAAAAGGGGATCGTATTCCCTGACAAGTCATTGTGTCGACAATAGGACTTGATAAACGTGGACTTTAAACGAGACTGTAAAAGCATGATATCCACTTGTTTATCAATAGAAATTGAATTTAATTGCCTTCGTTGAAGAAAATGTCATTTTTTGCTCATGTGGTAGAGCCTGCTCTTGAAATGATCATCAGAGACATTAATCTTCGTATAGATGGGTGGAAATGTAAGGTATTATATTTCTATTCATTTATATAAAAGAAATTGACGACAGAAATGTTGATTCAAGTTTGTAAAGGTAAATCAGATAAGTTTTATACACATACTAATTACATAAGAGGAGTATTAAGTTTATATACAATAAGTTGAGAGACCTCAGCACCATATGCAGGTTATATAAGGAAAATTGAAGTGATCGATACAAACAATTATGTAAACAGGCCCACGTAAATAACTGTAAGGATATTGAGTCGATGACAAATTTTAAATAATCCTGTTTGCCATAGACTTTAGGAGCATTTGAACCCCCTTAATTTTCCTTGTCCATTTTTGGAAAACAATCCGTATAGAAAGTGTATGAAAAAGTCAGTGAAATATTTAAATAGGACTTGATAAACGTGAAAGAAATCGTTGAAGAAAATAGAGCCTGCTCTTGATATCGTTTAATCTCCGTATAGAGATGTGTTTAAAATATATAAAAGAAATTCGATTTCTTAAGTTTCAAATAAGTGGGTTAGGTTATAGTAGGATATTACCACGTAAATAAAGGATATTGTCGATGACAAATTTTAAATAATCCTGTTTGCCATAGACTTTAGTTGTTAATTTTTCCTTATCGTCTAAAGTCAGTGAAATATTTAAATATGAAAGAAATATTGTTGAAAATTTATATTCGATTTTGGGTTACTTAATTCAAATCAACAAATGTTTGTTAATATAACTATTTGTAATTAATCAAATGTCGTCGATTAACTAGAATGTAAATTTGAAAGCCAGTCTGATGTTTCCTTCTCCTAATGTCGGGATTTTAAGGTTAACCCTAAAATCCAGTACTGACATCCACTATAGAGTTCCAGTCCATGATTTATATATCACATTTGCAAGATGTTACATCGTATCATAAACTTAAGTGCGCGTGCGCCTCATAACATTTAGAATTTTTCGTGGCACCATCCAGATGGCTAGTGGGACGTCTTATCTCACCCTCAGTGTACAGTTAGTGTCTTTAATCTTAAATCTGAACACAATTTTAAATGTTTAAATTTGACAACGATAAAGTGCTATTATGAAGTTTAATTCGAATGAACTGAACGATTTTAGTTTTGTTACTTGAACTTTTTAAAAATATAAGAAACAAAAAGATAAACATATCCTGATCTCTCTCTCTCTTTCTCTCTCTCTCTCTCTCTCTCTCTCTCTCTCTCATACTATTTGAAAACAAACCCAGTTTGATGAATCACCAACCACTAAGAACGGGTTACATGCACTCCAATGCATACTGCTCTGATATCTAACTACTAGTATGAAGTTGAATGTTGAAGTACATTTCTTATAATGCAAGAACATTGCAGATATTGTTGAAGAAATCAGAAATCAAAAGGCTAAGCGTTCATTTCTGTGTAAAGTAGAGATCATAAAAAAGCACAGAATAATTATTTCAATAAAACACTTCATATTTTTAGTATGTCAGCTTCAATAAAACGGAAGCAGACAATATAGATAAATTGAAAGGTTTTTCCGAGGGGTCATTGCCTTAATAAGTACAATTGTGTCCTCTAGCGATGTTAGTATTTAGGGGTCAATGATCCATCGTTATAATAGGAACCAGACATTTGGTAGGTTGTGAATAAGTCTGATATTAATGTTCTATATTTTATCATTTAAAGCAAAGATAGATAAAATCCTTCTGGTAAAATGACGGTTATAGCCTAAAAATTTGAAATTAAAGCACTGCCAAAGTTTGTTACAGGTCTGCAAAGTTATATAGAACTGAAACGTGGTATTTTCCTGTAAAAACTCACATTTTAACATCAAAGTCTAGATCAAATCTACGATAATCTGCGA